CGGCTCTGCGCTCGCCCTGCGCTCCGATCTCCAGGCTGGCCAGGTCCATCCCCAGCAGCTCCGCGATCCTCTCCCGCCCGTAGATGTCCCCGTACTTCTCCAGCACCTGTGGAATTGAGGGGGGGCACCCCGGAATTGAGGGGGGACCCCCAGAATGTCGGGGGGCATCTCTACAACCCAGACAGGGGCTCCCAGCCTGGGTCCAGGACCCCTCCTCACCTTCCTCTTGATGAACTTGTCCCAGTAATTGCTGGGGAAGGATCTGGGGGGGTCAGGAGAGAAAAGGGGGGGTCAGAGGGGTCAGGGGTGACCACAGCCCCTCCCCCAGGACACGGCCCAGTCCCACCGGACCCCCAGGAGCCCCCCCAGACCTCCTGAAATCTCCCTCAGACCCCTCAAATCCCCCAAACCTCCCCTCCAGCCCCTCCGATGCCCCTGGGACCCGCTGAGCCCCCCTCCAGTGCCCTCCCAGTGTCCTCCCAGTCCCCTCCCAGTCCCTCCCAGTCCCTCCCAGTGCCCCCCAGTCCCTCCCAGTCCCCTCCCAGTGCCGTACTGGGCGTTGAGCACCAGGCGGTCCCACTGGCCCTTGACATCGTCGTCGGGCGGCTGCTCGGTGATGTAGAGCCCCGAGAACTCGAGGCGCCGCGCCACCTCCTTCTCCCGCTTGAAGATCACCAGGGGGATCTGGGGACACACCGGGGCTCAGGGGGACACGGGGGGACACAAAGGGGGTCAGGGCACACACAGAGTGTCCCGGGGTGTCACCTTGAGGCAGTTGTAGCCGATGATGCACAGGAAAGCCACCAGGGTATGTGCCAGCGCCAGCCCGCGCAGCGCCGGGCCCATGTAACCCGTGCTCTCCTCCAGGAAATAATAAACCTCGGGCTCCTCCAGTCCCCCCGCCGCCTCCGCGCCCCCCGGGACACCCCCGTCCTCCTCGGGGGCCGCCCCTGAACCCTCGGGCTCCTCGGGAGCGCCCGGAGGGTGCTCGGACACCTGCGGGGACAGGGACACGGTCAGGGACCCGCCGTGGGGACACCGGGGGCATCCACAAACCCCTGCCATGGGGGCTTGAGGGGGCAGAGTGTCCCCAAACCCCCTCTGTGGGGACCCGGGACCCCCTAAACTCCCCTCCCAGCCCCCCCGAGCTCCCCCACCTTGTAGAAGAGGAGGATGAAGTTGATGGCGAAGGCCAGGAACAGCGCCAGGAAGCGCAGGTTGTAGAAGTTCCGTGACAGGTAATTCTGGGGAGGGGGATTCAAGGGGTCAGGATCCCACCTGGGGGGGCAGGACCCCTCCCTGCACCCACCCTGAGACCCCCAGATCCCTCCCCGGTCCTGAAACCTCCCCCGGGACCCCCAAATCCTCCCCCGGCCCCAAAACCTCCCCTGAGACCATCCCAAAGACCCGCGGGATGCCCCAAACCCTCTCGAGGGACACCCAGGACCCCCCAAACCCCTCGGAGCGTCCCCCTCGCTCCCCCCGAGCCCCCCAGAGCCCCCTTACCAGGAATTTGACCCTCTGCACCTCCAGCTCCCCCCAGAAGTCGAAGCCGCCCTCGGCCGGGGGCTCCCGGCGCTCCCGGGGCACCGACTTGCGCCGCTTCGGGGCTGGGGGCGGCTCCGGAGCCTCCTCGGGCCCCTCGGGACCCCCGCCCTTCTCCCCGTTCTCCGTGCTGGGGGGACGGACGGGTCTGGGTGGGGGGCTCGGGGACACCCCCGGGC